CCGGCCTCCGGGAGGGGCCTGTCCCGTCCCGTGCCCCCGGAAAGCGAAGGGCCGACCCGGCCCCGAGGTCCCGCCCTGGAGGGTGAGCCTGTGCCCGTGGAAGCGGGTCACGTCCCCGTGAGAAAAGTGATCAGTAGAAGAGAGGATTTAAAAATACATATTATCTTTGTTGTTGGAAGTGTTACAGTGCCCCCCTATTTCCCCCACGGACCCTCCTCCCCGCGCCCGGTGGGGCCGCCACCGCACTGTCGGTGCCCCTGGTTTGCCGCATGCGCCCTGCCCTGCCCAGTGGGTCCTAAGGCCCGCGTGGGGCTGTGGGCTTGTCCCACAAGCGTGTAAAGCTCCTGTGTGGGCACCGCTTAGCGCAGGGAACACGGGGTGCACACGACAGCGCCTGCCCTTTGTAGGGGGGACCCGGGACCTGCTGGAGCCCCCGTGGAGGCAGGTGCTGGGGCCCCACTATCCGCTGGGATGGGGGTCTGGCCAACTCCGCCTTTTAGTGTAGGCAAAGCCTTGAGTCTCAGTTCCTTGGAGGGCCACCTTCCCCCTTTACAGTCAGAGCCGCCGGTGGCGGTCACGAGGCGGCCCGAGGCTGAAGCCGCTCTGGCCAGTGTTTGCCTAGGTGGATTGTCACAACAGGGAAGGGCCGGCGCTGGGTCATAAAATAGCCAGAATTTCAGTTGTCGTGATGACTGAGGATTTAGAGCCTAAATCTTAGATGGTAACTGCAAGTAACTTTGGAAATGAGTTCACTCTCCTGGTAACTGAAAGGTGGTTTTTGTTTGCTTTGAAGAGTTGTGTTGAGTTTCTGCCCTTCACGCCTTCAGCGCGTTTGCTCTCTCTCCAGGTGCCAGGCACTGTGCCGACGCAGGGTAGGGTCATGTAGGTGGAACGGTCCCGTCTTGCTCATACAGTTTCGGTGCAGCAGCGAGTGCTGTGAGGACTAGGCGTGCTGAGGAGGGGAGGGGAGGGAACACCGGGGCACGCGGGGCACGCGGGGCGGCTGGCACTGAGGTGTGAGTCAGCTCTGGAGGCAGCGTGGGGACTGCCAGGCACAGCAGCGCATGGGCTCGGGGCTCAGAAGCTGTTGCCCTTCACTCGAGGCTCATTCGGTACATTCTCTCTAAGTTGTCCTTCCCTCCCCAGGTTACCAGGTGACAGGGGTGTTTATGAAGAACTGGGACTCGCTGGACGAACATGGAGTGTGCACTGCTGACAAGGACTGCGAGGATGCGTACAGAGTGTGCCAGATCTTAGATATTCCCTTCCACCAGGTGTCCTACGTGAAGGAGTACTGGAACAACGTGTTCAGGTGAGAGCGGGGCGCAGACGTGAAGGTCTCCCCTTGCCTGGGCCCTTGCCCAGGGAGAGGTCACCTCATCAGCCAGACTGTCGTGCAGCCAGTGCCCTTGGACAGGGGCTCCAAAGACCATGCTGGGTGGCCTCAGCACCCTTGGGAGCTCTGTGGGAGGCTGGGCTGGATCCCACAGCACCCCTAGATCTAATTCCCATTATTACCACCAGCCAGAGGTCTCTTTAATCCCTCCTGAACCTTGAGATGTTTCTGCTGCTAAATTAGTATGGGAGCTAAAGCTGGGGGTCTCCCCTGGAAGGTGCCACCAGGTGAATGTCCAGACCCATGCAGGTCAGTGCTTAGAGGGTTCTGAGAACGAGTTAGTGACCCATTCCCCGTTGCCTTTTGAAAACAAGAAACACACACACTTTAAAAATCTAGTATAATCCTAACAGTTATTAGATGCTTACTCTGTACCGCACTGTGCTGTGTTTGGGAACAAAAAGATGTATAAACCTTGGGCCGTCCCGTAGGGGTATTCGGTCTAGGTGGGAGGAAGACGTCATCTTCAGAAGAGGAAGTGGTGGTGAGTGGCAGGTGGGAAATACCAGAGAGCCTGTTAAAAAGCTGCATGTTTAGAGAAGGGAGAGCTGTGTCACCTGCCCCTAGAATAGCAGAGGGGTAGAGGAGGCGTCCTGAGTGGGCAGCATGAGCAGTGGTGGCTGTTGAAAACCATGGCAGGCCTTGCTGCTACAGAGAAAGGACACTCAGAGCTGGAGTGGAGTGGGCCTTGGTGGCCGATGAAGGCGTCCGAGGGGCCCTGATGTGAACAGAGTGGGTTATGCTTTAGGGTCAGAAAACCCTTGGGTTCAGTTAGGGTTTGGTCCAGGCTCTGCCCCTTGCTGTATGAACCAGGCGAGTTATGTGATTTTTTAAAGCCTCAGTTTCCTTACCCTTTAAATGGGGACAGTGCCTAATAAGGTTATGGTGGGACTTAAATGAGATTATAAGCTCATAGCACAGGGTCTGGTGTGTTACTAAGCAGTATGTGTAGCTTTCATTTTCAGTATTAAAAAGACAAACCTGGCAGCCAGGTGTAGGATGAGTTACGGAGAAGGCTGCAGGCAGAGCAGCTGAGGAAATGCCACTGCTGGGGATTTGGGACAAGTGGGAGTGTGGATGGGAGGTGAGGTGAGGACAGATCCACCAGGCAGCAGATGTCAGGCTGGTAAATAGGCCCGGACCAGGTCTGTGATGTGGCCCTGGGACTTGCATGTCAACAAGGGCTTCAGGTGATTCTGACGGCAGGTCCTTCGGGTCTTTCTTTGGAAAACGGTGTGATGGGGCTTGGTTCCTGAGCATAGCGGGAAAGAGATGGAGAGCCGGAGTCAGTGACAGTCGAGATCCTGTCTAGGTGGGCTGGGAAAGCTGCTCTGAGGGATCCCTTGAGCACTGCATGGTTGAGATGATAGCAAGAAACCCAGGTACATTTAAACCACCCTGCATTGCTAGGTGTTAAAGGTATGTGAGCAAATGTGGATTTTTGAGGGCTAACCCCCCTCTGACTAAGGCCGGACAGGTAGAATGACCCGTTCTGAGTCCTGGGCAGGCTCTGAGCTGGCGTTGGTGTAGAGCCCAGGTTTCAGGCCAGTGTCCCAGTGTGCCCTTGTCACCGTCCCTGCACTGAGCCTCGGTGCAAGGAGAAGCATTAGTGCATTTAGCTTGTCTGCGTGCTGCCTGGGAGCTTGCCCAGCTCTGACGGCTGCCCACTCTCGTCCCTGCTGCCTGTGGGTGTGGGTGTAGTTACGCTCGGTGACCACGCTGTGCCAGACGCTCACAGCTCTGATAGCACTCGGCTCAGGAACTTGTGACTTCTGTTCAAGACTCACCTGGCCTTCGCAGCTGGAGTCCAGGTGTTCTTTCCAGTGCTGTCCCCCTCACGGAGTGCAGGCCGGGTCTCCTCACTGGACAGGCAGACCAGGCTCCACGGCGTTGCCAGTGCCACCTGACACGCCTCCACTGTGCTGTCGAGGGGTGGGTGCAGTGTGTGCATCATAAATGGCTAAATGTCAGCCTCTTCAACATCACCCAGTGCTTGTTACGCAGAAGTTTGGGGCATTCAGAGAGCAAAACTTGGATCCTGCTTGAGTAGTTTACAGTTTAGTGACAGCTTCTAACAGTTAAAGAGAGGTCAGAGTGTGATGACATCACCTGTTGGAAACAGGGAGCAATGCAAGTCTCATGCACTTCTGAGGGCTGGGAGGCAGTGGTAGGAACAGGTGGGTGTAACCTGCGAGAGCCAGGCTCCTGGGACCTGTGCAGTCTTCATCGGTCTTCAGACCGTGACCCTCTCAATCAGCATTGTTTTTGAACCCTTGTTTATCAGTGGAGAGCTTTAGTTTAGATGAAAAAATGATCCCATCTACCAAAAATATCGAATTTTAAATTCCTGGAGCAGGCACCAGAACATTCCTGACGTGCGTACTCAGACGGTGAACTCTCACCCAGCCAGCCTGTGGGGCAGAAACCCGCCAGCTGGGGTGCTTAGCCTGTGGTAAGCCCCAGGGGATACTGGTCCTCGGGAGTGCATGTGTCACGTTAGAAAAGTGGCCTGGGCTCCCAGGCTGAGACGTGGGCTGGCTGGTGGAGCCCCGCGTGGTCACCCTGCTCCGACTCCCAGGCCTCCTGGGGAGGAGGCAGAGGAGCGGGCTGTGCGGAGGAAGCACGCGCTCCCACGCTGCTCTGAGCCTGCTGAGCCGGGCCACAGGCAGGGCTGCCGTTCTCCCCAGGTGTGTCACTTATCATAGAGGCAGGTGGAAACCAGCCGGCTTTGAACAAATGTTTGATGAAAGTGCTGAAAGTGGCCATGGACCAAAGCTCTCCTGTTTTGTAAAAAATTACAGTCTTTTGTTCTGTTTTCAGTCCTCACCTGAGGATACTTTCCCATTGACTTTTCAGGGAGAGCAGAAGGGAGGGAGGAGGGAGAGAGAGAGAAGCATCCACTAGTAGCCTCCCGAATGCACCAGGGATGGAACCTGCAACCGAGGTACATGCCCTTGACCGGAATCGAACCCCAGACCCTTCAGTCCGCAGGCCAGTGCTCTAACCACAGAGCCTAACTGGCCAGGGTGAAGAATCCTAGTTTTGGAACGACAGGGAGAAAGCAGCCAGTTTATCTGATGTAGTTTTGAGGACGCTTCAGTGAAAAGAGCCTCTCTTGTTCCAGTGATTTTCTGAATGAATACGAGAAGGGGAGGACTCCCAACCCTGACATCATCTGCAACAAGCACATCAAGTTCAGCTGTTTTTTCCACTATGCTATAGACAATCTTGGTAAGTAATTTGGATTTTCTTCATTTGCTTTTTAAAAGGTGGAAACAGTTTATTCTTACATTATTATCAATTATTGTAGTATTTATTATTATAACCTACTTTCGCCCACCCCTATACATATATATTAAAGAAAACTTAAAACCACAGAACAGCAGAGCCCTGGCCAGTTTGGCTCCGTGGTTAGAGCGTCGGCCCGCAGACTGAAGGGTCCGGGGCTGGATTCTGGCCAAGGGCACGGACCTCAGTTGCAGGCTTGATTTCCAGCCCTGGTCGGTGCACATGCGGGAGGCAACCAGTCAGGGTCTCTCTCACATAATGTTTCTCTCGCTCTCCCTCCTTCCCACTCTCTAAAAAGCAATGGAAAAAATATCTTCGTGTGGGGATTAAAAAACTTACCAAAAAAAACACCCAGAAAAAGCACAGAGCAGCAGAAGTGGGGGGAAGTATCGTCTCTAGTTTCACTTCCTAGAATCAAAGGAATAGACTTCAGGATGTTTTTCTTCATCTTTTTCTGAACATTTAGAAACTGGGATTGCAGGATCCTGCACCTTTTTCCTGTCCACATTTTCCCACGTCAGTAGCATTTCTTTGTAAGTGGCGCTGTCACTATTGCGATAGCATTTTAACTTCATATTCTCCTGGTGTTACACATTTTGGTTGGTTTCAAATTTTCCTTAGTATAAGAAACACTGAAACGACTTTTATGTACTTAAATCTTTGTGTACACATCTGACTGTCTCCTTAGGTTAGAACGAGGACTGGATAGGTAGTAACTTTTGAAAGACCCTTAAAGATGCAGTAAAACCCGTAGCAACATTGTATCACTTCAGAAGGCCGTGTGTGTAACAGAGTTACGGTGCCCTCCTCCCTGGGGCGTCTGTGTTTGGGGGGTCCCTCCAGGGGGAGATGGGCGTCTGCTCCTGTGAGCAGCCTTGGCTGGGGCTGGCCGGGCAGTGAGCGCAGGTCGAAAGTCTGATCCTTGTGCTTTTAAACCCCCAGGGGCGGACGCGGTGGCCACGGGCCACTACGCAAGGACGTCACTGGAGGATGAGGAGGTCTTTCAGCAGAAGCACGTCAGGAGGCCGCAGGGGCTTTTCAGAGACCGATTTGAAGTAAGAAATGGTGAGTAACGGTGCGCAGGTCAGTGCTTCATTGTCAGTGAGCGAGCAGAAGGTGTCGACGTGGCAGCAGGTCATTGCTGGAGCGTCCCTGCCGGACCCCAGTGTGTTCCAGACGAGCTTGCTGGCCTTTGAAAACGAGCATTCACCAGGAGGGTCATTTCCCCAGGGGCCTGTGGCTGGTCTCTGGGCATCAGGAGAAGTCCCGGTCGGGCTGGGCACGGGCTTGTGGACGTCGGACCATAATTTATAACCTGTTCTAGACTCCGTGTGCAGGTGTGTGCAGGTTCCCCAGTGTTTGAGGAGATTCTTGACAACATAACTGGATGTTACAGGCCCTGGGACTCACCACCACGCTTTCACGGGCTCGGGCATACATGTGCCCAGTGTGACCTGACACTCACTGTGCAGGCCCGGTGGCCAGGCTTGGAGCTGTGTTTACAGATTAGCTGATCAGAGGGGCAGGGTTGTACTTTCCTGGGAAACCATCAGAACCAAACAGTGAGCGGGGGAGCTGCTGGCCTGTCCTGAGGCTTGTCTGTGTGCAGAAGAGCACACATCACGTTCACGTGAAAGACAAACGGCTCAGAGCCACGTTTCTGCCAGCAATGTCCATGCTGTGGGGTCGCAGAGGGCTAGCGCTTCTCCACATGGCCAGCCTGCCCCACATCACGTGCTCCTGTCCCTGCCCAGGGCTTCATATGCTCACGTTTCACTGCCCTCTTCTTAGCAGTGTCAGGATGGCCACCTCGTCCCACTTCACAGATGAGGAAACTGAGGCTTGGATGAACTTATTTGACCTGGGAGCCTCTGGTGGCAGAGCTGGATCTCAGCCCAGTTCACCCAGCTGCACATCTGTGCTTTCTGCTGTACTGGGCTCTGCTGAGCTCTTTTCTCTGTTTTCAGTGTGTTTTTAGGCACACTAAAGTGATTTGAGAGAGAGGAAGGGAAATGGAGAGAGAGAAATAGAAACATCAATGATGAGAGTCACTGATCGGCTGCCTCCTGCACGCCCCCTGCTGGGGATCGAGCACAAAACCAGACATGAGCCCTGACCGGGAATCGAACCTCGATCCTCTGGGTCATGGGTTGATGCTCAGCCACTGAGCTGTGCCGGTGGGGCAGGTACACTGAAGAGTTTTGTTTTATTCTAACTCAATTGCCCTGGAGACCTGGAATAGGGCCTCCTGACCTGGGCCCCTGGGGAGAGTGCACAGGGGCAGCAGAGAGCCGGGCCCTGGGTTAGTTGGCCCCAAGCCAGAGTCCTGGGCCCCAGCCATGTGACCTGGTAGATCTTCCCCCTTACAGATGGGGTTGGCAACACGGGGCCGAAGGAGGGAAGGTGTGGGAATAGCTCCTGGCACAGCAGGCCCTCGCCAAGCACTGTTTCCTTTCCATGGTATAGGGGTTGCCAGCTTTTTTCTTTAAAGGTAATACATTTTGAGTTTGTTTTAAAATAGCTCAGAACTACGAGACAATGCAAATAGCCCTCGGTGCTCTGAGGCTTTTACACACACTGATTGGTTGAACTGAGTTTGAAACAACACATTTAAACTTTGAAACAACGTATTTGGCACACGATCTGCCTGGTAACTGGTTGACTGGCTGGTCTTCATTTTCTAGCTGGTTTGGTGTTTTGTGCATGAAAAGCGGTGGATAGAAGTTGGGTGACTGGGCTCCGCTTCAGCCCTGCATGCTCTGCCTGCACCATCTGGCCAGTCACATTGGTAATCTGAGCTCAGTTTTCTCGTCTGTAAAGTGGGAGTCATTCTACCCACACAGCTAACATGAGAGTCAGATTCTGGGTCACAGATGGAAAACGTTCACTGCATCGTGAGCATGTCACAGGCTACTCTGAGCATGAGCACAGCGTGTTGAGGCTGCTCTCAGCATAGGTGCGAGAAACAGTGAAAGAAGCCACAAGATTGCTATTACGTCAGTTGTTTCCATTGACCATTGAACTTCAAGCAGGGAAATTCTGTCGCAGGCCAGGCAGGGCCAAGCTGGCTCAGCAGGAGCCGGCCCCTCTGAACCAGGGTCATGTGGGCGGGATCAGGACTGCGTTTGCGCGTTGCTTGAACCCTAGAAACGGCCCTTCATTGTAAATAGCAGGTGCTAGAGAAACTGCAGAGGAGAGCTGAGAGGTGGCCGCCTGGACTCTAAACACAAACCTGTCCACCCAGGGAGAAAGTGCGTTTACAGCAGAGCGCTCCCTAGGGGGCTGTCTTTCCCCAGTAGCCGCACCCAGAGGTGAGTCAGTGCAGCCGAGGCCTCCGCATACCTGCGATGGTCAGGACGCTCCGCTCAGCCGAGGTTCTGTGCGCTGTCTCCTCCAGTTCACCACATGGGCTGGATTTATTTTAAATCTGTTTTTTCTTCTGGGACATTTCACCTTTGAAAACATTACCATTTAGAGTAGGAACTGGAATAAACGTCCTTGTCGTGTAAAACCTACCTTCCCTGTATCCATACACTTCTAACAGCTGATGGGCCGGGAGTGGGATTTCCCTGCACTCACCACAGTGGCTGTCTTCCTCGCCGCCTGCTATTGAGTTGAGTATGGCCCGGCCAGACCAGGGCCGTCTGAGGAAAGGGCCTCTACCAGGGCGGAGTGTGACTGCTCATTCCTGCAACGTCTCTTGTTCTTTACTCTTGGCAGCGGTAAAGCTTCTCCAAGCAGCTGACAGCTTTAAAGACCAGACCTTCTTTCTCAGCCAGGTTTCCCAGGAGGCCCTGAGGAGAGCCCTCTTCCCTCTGGGGGGACTAACGAAAGATTTTGTAAAGAAAATAGCTGCTGAGAATAGACTTCATCATGTGCTTCAGAAAAAGGAGGTAGGCCTGGGGCGTGTGCTCTTGTCTGCAGTGCCCGGCACAAGGAGAAGCCCTCCCACCTCCCACTCCCGCTCCCGCTCTCCTGGAGGCTCATGGGCAGTGGCTGGAGGTGTGAGCAGCTTTAGTTTTTTGTGAGCATCTGGTCTGATGGTCTGCGAGCAGGGCTGGGCCGTGCTCGGTGTGGAGGGTGTGCTTGCTTAGCTGGCAAGATCCAGGGTCAGGGACCATAACAAACCTGAGAAGCTGACACCCTGCAGGCCCCACCTTGTCTGTCTGTGGTTGGGCCTGTTGGCTGGGTGCTGGTGGGAGAGCCAGCCCTGGGCCTGGAAGTGCGAGGCTCCCGGCAGGAGGGGAGGCCCACGGAGGCCTGGGGGCGAGGGGGTGTTGGCCCGTCCTGCAGTCCATCCTCTCACGGCCGCCTGCCTTCCTTTCAGAGCATGGGCATCTGCTTTGTGGGTAAAAGGAACTTCGAGAGCTTCATTCTCCAGGTGAGTGCTCTCTGACGTGGGGGGCCGTGTCTGCCCTGGGCCAGGACCGTAGTAACACTGCGTTTGTTTTCCAGTACTTAGAGCCACGGCCTGGGAAATTCATCTCTATAGAAGACAGCAGAGTCTTGGGGACACACAAAGGTGAGGCACCACCCTGGCTGCTTGTCCAAACTCCCAGAGCCATGGGTGCATGGCAGGTGCCCTGTCCCGTCCATGTCAGCCTGAGAGTCAGAGCCGATGGCAGGGAGCAGGTGTGGACGGTAGGGTGTGGTGGCAGCTTTGATGTGGGATTTCTGCATTTCAAGGTGTGGTCTCCGCACTGCAGCTGGTAACAAGGATGCCGCCTGGTTGAGAAAGGCTTTGCTCTCTAGTCAGGGTGATATCTACAAATAGAATTGTGCCTTCACCCTACAGAGAAAGCACCAGACAGGAGTCAGGAGCCTCGTGCTTGGGATAGTATGAAGAGCTGGTGTCAGGGGTCCAGAGGGTGGCAGGGTGCTGCTCACTCACTGGCAGACATGGAGGTTAGGGCACTGTGAGCCTTCCCAGTACTGCCGGGAGGACAGGGGCAGGGCGAGTCAGTGCAGGGTTCACAGCCCAGGAGGTAGATGGGGGGCGGGGG